GGGCTGGATGGGTTAGCCTCCCATGGGGAAGAGGGTATGAGTCAGGTGAGAAGCTCTTTAGAGTCCATTCAAGTCATACCAGGGGTTTTCACTCTCTTTCGTGCACTGTGGTTATTGCTTCCATGCACTCTTGCTAGCCTTGCTGCGTCCTGTTATGATCCCTATACAGAGCAACTGTTGTAATAGCTTTGTCCCACTGCCCTTACAAGTCACCTGTAGCTGCTGTGTGTCAACACTTTGCTCCAGTGCGCTGTTCTACTGCAAAGTCGCTGGCTGTAGGGAGGCCGGCACCTCTGCCTTGGCACCCAAGTTCTTCCAGCTCCTGCAGCCTGGTTCAGAACTGATCCCTGCAGTGATTCATAACTGGAAAAGAGCAGGTTAAGTCAAATCAAATGTCTCCCCTGTCAATGGCTGTCAAGGCTCAGCAGTTTCTATAGCCAAGAGCACACAAACAATGTGAAGTGATGACTAGGACTACGCCCAACCACCTCTGACTCCTCTGAGCCACAAACATTTAGGTCCAAGATTTGAATATCCCAAGGGTGAGGAGGTGTCTGGGTTTGGGATTTTGCTTTATTCTTATCTCTACTTGGAACTCGAGTGCCTCCTGGACCCCAGCGGCTCAGTGAAGCCATAAAACCTGTGTTGCTGGCTCTGGACACACTGTACAGTTTGATTTTTCAAAGGTACCAGTTCTTGGAATCCATGAGGCTAAAGAATCAAGATGGGGGCTGGGGTGGAGAAAACAACATGCCATTTCCCTTCCCCCTCTTCCTCTCTTTCTGCTTTCTTTCACCCCTTCCAAGTTTCACCGCTGTTTCCCTTGGACAGTTTGGTCTGGCAGTTCTGCTAGCTGGGTGGTTTCCTCCGCTTTAGAGGAAAAAAAATAATAGGAAAGGGAAAAAAGCAAAACTATAGGAGCCAGGGGCTGGGCCTTGTTTAATAAAAGATAGATCCCAGGATATAGTCTATATTTACAAGGAGGGGAGAAACTGTAGGACCTAATTGGTCTCTGCTAACCACCAGGGTCCTGCTGCTGTGACAAGTGACATCTGCACTAGCATCCAGTAGGGCTGCAAACACAGGCTTTGGTTTGTTAGAAGCAAAGCAGCCTTTCCTTAGGAGGGGGAGTTGGGAGGTCTGAGTTCTATTTCTGGCTTTTGCCACTCACTTGCTGTGTGACTTTGACTCCTTTCCTGACCATGTCCTTTTGTCCTGACCTGCAGCTGCTGTCTTGCTCTCAGCTTTCCCCACACAGCTGTGCCAATCCAGACCTACAGCATGCCCTACCATCCCATCCCTGAGCTGAAGCTACTCATTGGATCTCACTGACAGCCAAAGGAAGAGAGAAAGCCAGCTCCCCAGAGGGGACACTCTTCATTTGACCCCAATGCCCAGCAGCCCAGGTGTCACCAGGATTCTGCTGTCTGGACCCTTTCCTTCCCTTTCCTTCCTTCCTTGAAGAGCCCTTAACCCTGAGGTCACTGTTCTATCTGCTGAGCCATTTATTCTTCTCTCCCTCCCTCCATCTACTGCAACTTTCCCACTGTCCTTGAAGCTGTGCCTGGCCCCCATTCCTTCCATCTCCACAGGGTGCTGGCTCAGTCTGGAAGAATGTGACTCTCTGTTGGGCTGGGACTCCTCTGAGCTGGGAGGCTGCGAGGACCCTCCACAGAGAACTCACAGCAGCCCTGATGACTCCAGTACCTCTGTCGCATGGAGCTTGGCTTGGTATCAGCTTGTGACTTGTCAGTTACTCACCTTAGATCTTCCTGCAGCTGACTCAGCCCAACCCAGCCCAGCCCCCTCCTTTCCTCCTGTGGGTGGGTCTGGGCCAGAGTGCTGATTGGATCAGAGAACATCTGGCTTGCAGAGGGGGCTCTTTGGAGAGAGAGAGCTGCTTCTTCTAACCTGATTCTCTCCTTTCTTATTGTCAGAAGAATCTTGCAGGCTGAAATGTTTGTGTTCCTATTGACCCCCTCCCCCTATCTCCTTTCTAATTCCCCCTGCAAGAATCTAGGCCTTCCCCACTCCTGCAGCCATGTGTGCTAGGCAGCAGGGCAACTGGCATAGGGCAGATTTTGGGTGTTTCTCTTAGAGCCCAGAGATCTGGCAGCTTATGAGGCTGGAAGATCTGATGCAGCTGCCTCTGGTTAGGGAGAGGCCTTTTCTCATCCCCTCGCTGTCAGCTGGGATCATTTCCCCTCTGCTACCATGGGGCCTCTTGTCCTCCCTCTTGAATTCAGATTAGAGTGATCTGCTTGGATTCCCTGTGGCGTGTTTAGAGACTGTGGGTGAACTCCTGGCCCTAATGAAGCCAATAAGTGCTTTGCTGTTGACACCAGTAGAACAGGTTTTCATTTCACAGCTCCCTCAGTCTGCAATAGAGCACTGGCCTTTCCAAAGGGAAGAAGCCCCAGCTGCCCTTGGAGCAGAGGTGGATTTTACTTGAGGCATCCACCTGAACAGGCTTCAAAGATTCAGATCACCCTCTCAGGGCCCCAGGGGCAGACAGAGAATGGTGAGTAGATTCATAGATTGCGAGGCTGGAAGGGACCTCAAAAGATCATCAGGTCCAGCTCCCTGCACCAGGCAGGAAAGACAGTAGATGCTATAAGACATCATAGAGGAAAATAATGCATATGATCCACATTATTGCTGACCAGCTATCACCCTGTCCTCCTCCATAGCACCCTGTGGCCAGAGAAAACTCTCAACCAAGCTCTGGGCTCAGTTACACCCATGCAACCCATTTAAAGGTGCCATCTTGATTACCACTATGTCTATGTCTCCCTCTAGTGGCAGGTCTGCACAGTAGTTTGTGAATCCACTTTTGCTTCCACCTAATGAACTTAGGCTGAGATCCTCAAAGGCATTCAGGTACCATACTCATGGGCAACTGGTGCTGCCTTAGTCAAGGGAGGCATGTACCCCCCAGCGACCAGTCGGGGGGGGGGTCCCCCTGTGGCCAATCTCGCCTACGGTGGGAGGGGGTCACTGTGGGCAATCACTGCAGCCATTTCTGGGAGCACCATGGCGCTCCACTCACTGGCCGGTGCTTGCAGGGGGGCACTGGCACTCCCACCTGCCCCCCCTGCCCGTCACCTAAGTGGCGAGCGTGGCCTTTTCAGGGGGTGCACACGCACCCCCGTGCACCCCCTACATGTTGCACTGACCATACTCAGTAGTGTAATTGGGTGGGGAGGGGAAGGCGGGGAATGACTGGGACAGATGCACTGGGTGCTGCCTTTGCGGGTGTGGGGAGGACAGACAAAAGCTTCTACTTTTAACATGGAAGGAGCTGGCATTGCTCTGAGCATTGGTGGCTGGTCCACCTCTGACTATACTGCTATTAAGTGGAATGTAGGTGCCTAATTGCACTTAAAAGTGTGCCCAAAGTGTGCCCAATCTTGCATTTCAAAGACATCTGCAAGCAGGATTTGAAGGTTTTTGGAATCAACCCAAACCTTTGGGAGGCCTTAGCACAGGGACGGGCAATTATTTTGGGCAGAGTGGCGCTTACTGAGTTTTGGCAAGCCATCGAGGGCCACATGACAGGCAGCCCAGGGCAGATTAATATTAATTTTCTAAATTTTTTAGAGGCCCCGTGGGCTGGATAGAATGGTTTGGCAGGCCGCATCTGGCCCCCGGGCCGCATTTTGCCCACCCCTGCCTTAGCAGGAGACAGGACAAAGTGATGTTCCTTTCTCAATCATGAAGTCCAACATCACAACAAGAAATGGTCACTCGGATTACAACAGAAACATGACTGAAGGAAATAGCCTGTCAGTACAGTAGCCCCTACTGCCATGTACAACTGTGACCACTGTAGCAGGAGACCTGCAAGTCTAACATCGGTCTTTACAGCCACAAGAGAAAATGTACCACCAGTTAGCAGAACAGCTGCAATATCCACCATCACTCACTGATGAATGGATGCCATACAGTCCATACAGGTACATAAATAGGAATTGGAGGCCTAAATAGCTGTGGGCCTTGGTTCATAGATTGAGAAGTCCCCAATTCAATTGCTGATGCAGATCTATTGATCCCATATACGTGGTTCTAGGAAGTCGTCACAAAGTCGATGGTGGGGGCTCATCAGCTCTCAAACGACTCCCCTTTGTATCATCCACGTGGATACCATTTTTAGTTACCTTCTGTGAGGCTGCCCAGGCACCCAGTAAATGAAAGCACAGCACTACATTCTTGTGACGAATTTGATAACTACAAATTGCTCACAGCCTCCTCCCACACTGCTGCAGCAAAGCAAAAAATGATTCCCAAGACTTAAAAAGAAGCAGGTACATTTGATTGTGCCAAGGACCTCATAGGATTATGCCCCTTGGCTGGTGCTGGAGATCACAATGAGACCTATGAAGGGGATTTACAATATCTCACCATGATATGATTCTTATAGTGGTCTCTCAAGCATCTGGTTTTGGTCACTCTCGGAGAAAAGCTATTCCACTCGGTGCCCCCCTGCTCTGACCATTGTGAGAAGACCTATGTTTCTGTCACCAACCAATTTGGGTGCTGTGGTGGGCTTCTCAGTTGTTGCCTGTTGCTGTATGAGACAGTGACGCTGTTTTGAAGCAAGTGAGAAGTGTTTAGAACATGGGGGCATTTTTTATCAGCACCTCTGAACTCCAGACCACTCCCAAACTGTGGATTCAGATCCCTCACTTGGGACTCTTTATGGTGGTATTACTGGTACATGTGACTTACTGAGTGTACAGAGTGAGTTACAGTGGGTGTGTCTACACTTGTGCTTTAATGTGCAGTAGACTATTTTACTATGCATCACTGTCATGTAAAAATGAGGACATTACACTAATGTGCAGTAAAATAGTCTACTGTGCATTAAGCATCACTAAAAAAGCATGCAAATGTGCTACTGTGAATTAGTGCAGCCTGACGCGCATTAATTTAGTACCTCACATTGGACATACTAAATTTAACGGGCATTAGAAAAGGCATATTAATGCATGTGTAGACATGCCCAGTCAGTGCTAGGATGAGAATCCAGCAGGCCCCTATGGAATTTCAGAGAAAATGAGAACCTTGCTGTGGGCTGTTGTAGTTTTGTAACCCCTCTATACAGCTATGCCACTGCTAGAGAAATACAGTGCTTCCAAGAAGGACTCACGGTGCTTCCAGGAAGGCTAGAGGAAGAATCATGGTCTATTGGTGTCTGGAGTCATTGCTACAGAGCCCTGCTGGACCTGTGGAGAACCCTGCCCAAGATGGAACTGCTCTGTGTGGGGTGGCTGGCTTCCAGGCCTGGGCTTGCAAGCCTAGGCCTGGCCTCTCACCCTGCTGGGATGTGAAACTGCTCTGCCACAGGATTTACTCCCACTGTT